AAAAAAAAAAAAAAAGAAATTAATCTCTTTGTAATCAACTGTACAGTTGATACTCCCCAAAAAAAACCCCAACCCCTTTCCTCGTGTCAGCGGATGTCATACGACGGTGGAACTCCTCCTTTTATGACAACGCTGCTTTACCAACACCAACTCCGGGGATGTCAATAAGGCCGTGCGCGACGGCAGGCACCGAGCCATCGTCCGGAGCGCCACAGAGGGGAACAGTTGTCTGACAGCACAAAACTCTTCACAACAACACCGACTTTCCGCAATGTACAGTATTTACACAACAGCGGCAAACGTGCTCATACAATATCCGTCTCTATAGATAAATTAGCAAAACGAGTCTCAGGCATTCCCTTGGTCCGTCGCACCAGTATTTTGTGTGGCGTAAACGTTTGGTACCTCTGGTCCTGGGGCGTTTTCTACGTCTGAGTGTTTAAACCCAAAAAGAACGAGGCGAGTGCTGAGGTCAGGGCCGCTTTTCGGTACTGGAGCGTGACCGCTGCCCTCAGCAACTTCTGCTCACCGTTAGGAACGTTCTTTGGTGCTTTCCCCCGGTGCGTTCGATCGCCAGATCACGCCGTACGGGAGGAGGACGGGAGCAACTCGAAAGTGAACCAGCACTTCTCGTTCGTCGTATTTACAAGGAGGAGGAGGTGACGACCTGCAGCGTCCTGCTTGTGGGAAGCAGCGTGCGCCATGGCCTCCAGAAGTGAGGAAATCAAACCCAAAGCGCCAAACAAAGCCTCTTTCAAGGGCTGTCCTCCACGAGGCGTTCACCTTCGTCTCTCCACGGTGGAGGACCTCGAAGGCCACCTCTTCTCAACGCGCTTCTCGCCCTTCCTTGAGGTTCTCCATGGAGAAGGAGCACCCGCCGTGGTGTTGTAAGCGGGCACCAGAGGGACAAGGGCGCTGTGAGGACCGAGACTGCTGCTGTTGGCCGGGGACTGGTGCAGCAAAGCCAACAGCCGAGAAGTCTTCCTCGCCTGAGGAGCTCTCCACCGCGGAAATTCGCCCCCTTTGGGCTTGGCGTTGGACGGGGAGACGTCCGCGTGGGCGTCCTCTTCCGCAAAAGGCAGAGAACTTCTCCCAGGCGGGAACTGTGCGTAGTGGGGCGCTGCAGGAGTTGGCACCATCCGAGCCCCGGGCAGGTCGCTCTCATCAAACATCACGCCCTCTGCGGTTGCAGCCGCTCGGGTGAGGAACGGGGGCGGGAGGGTGCTGCTGCGCTTGCTGCAGGACTCGCAGCACAGCTTGTTGTAGCCGGGGATGGAACAGTAACGCGCCAGCACTTCCATCTGGCAGAAGATGGATTTGTCTCCCGCGCAGGGCTCATCTGCAAAACAAAGGGAATGACGGTAAAGCCAGTGAAGAGCACCGCAATGCCCGGACAACGTGTAGGTGGGCACAGATAACGTTCTGCCCGCATCCCATAAACGATGGGCCACTCTGAACAGGCAACCGGAGATGCTTCATCCCCCGACCAGGGCTCACCGCCACCCAAAAAAATAACTCTAGTCGGGAACCAAAGGAACGGGCGGTCACTTTGACAACGTCAACTTTGCTGCGCGCCACCAGCGAAGAGCTGGGCAAAGGCACGGCATGTTTGTGGAGGGCCACAGACGACAGTTTCCAGTGCCAACCTACTACAGCTCCCACAGACCAGGCCAGACCTTGCTCTGCCCACCCCACATCTCCTTTGCTTCCAGCCTGAGGGCGTCATCTATCAGCGGCATTAAACCCAATGAAATCTTCCCTTAAAGAAATCAAATCCCAAGCAACATCTCTCAAAGACGCCTTTTTTATGATGTCTTAAACCAAAATGTTATAGTTGGATGAAGTCTGGTTTGGAGGAAGTCTCAGTGACCCAACCATCACTGGAGACCTGACGGAAAGCTTTTGACGGACAGGTCAGATGGGAGATGCCTTCAAGTTGCGTGTCTGGCATTCCCTTCAGTCAGGGAAAAGATCTCAAAGAGGTCAAAGAGCTATTAGAGACCCCCAAAATATCGATGTTCCTTTGAGCGTTTGCGGGGTGTTTGTGGAACAAACAGAGACGCAGCGGTCAGGTTGGACAAAACAGGGAGAGAGGAAAGCAGCAGCGCGAGAAGTCAGTAGGAAAATAAGGCTTTGATCGTGATCTAAGGGCACATCAGCACTCGGCTCCTTCAGACCATCCCATGAGCTCAAAGGTGACGTCCCAAATTCTACTGTTAACAGGACTGGGACAAACACCGAGAGTGTGTAATGCTCGCGAGGAGGCGGCACTGCTGAGGGTTTCTGTTGCATGGACTGTCATGGCAGGAGCTCCCCGGGCAGTCGGGGGTTCTGTACGGGAACCTGAGTTTGGATTAAAACCTCTCATTTCACAGAAAAAGGCAAATTCCCAGCGTGTGAGCAGAGCTGGGTCACGGCGCAGAAGATGATGGGAGGCATGTGGAGTTCTAGATTGGAGATTAGGAAAAAGTTCTTCCCTGAAAGGGTTGTCAAACACTGGAACGGGCTGCCCAGGGCTGGCGTGGAGTCACCATCCCTGGAGGCATTTAAAAGACGTGTAGACGTGGTGCCGAGGGATGTGGTTCAGTGGTGACTTGGCAGTGTTGGCTTGATGGTTGGACTTGATGACCTTAAAGGTCTCTTCCAACCAAAACGATTCTATGACATGAGCTGCATTATTTGCAGATTGTAAAATGAGGAGATGTAATACTTCCTCATTACTCTCCTCCCCGTCTCTAACTCGTCCCACCGCGCATTTACAGCGCGACTCATCTGTGCGGTTTGGAACACCACGTGCCTCGGCAGCACGACCACCGAAAGAGCAAGGCGGGAAGGTCACCTCGTCCAGCCCTGCAGCAGGGTCAACACGCGCCAGAAGAGCATCTTGCCGTTCTAAAGCCAACGCCTTCGTAGGCAAAGAGGGGTAATGACCTCCCCACAGACACCCACGGGGACCCTCAGCACAGACCGCGCGTTTCAGGCTCACATTCTCCTAATTCATCCTTGGGTGGACGTTTGTTGGCTCCAGACAAACCCAGCATTAAATCTGCAGCTTTGCAGGGGAAGGTACGGGCT